GGGGGTGGGGGGGGGTAAGAAACACTTTAAAATCACAATTTTTCAGACAGAGGTGAATCATAAGGTATCTGGATCTTCTCGCTCTCCCAGCTAAAGAACTTTCTGACCTTACTGGGATGGGGGGTAAAGACAGTTTGTTGAATTATGGCCTCTGGGGGCAGCAGACCTGGTGGTGAAGGGAGTGTTCTGGCTGTTAGAAGGCTGACCTTTAACCCCACTCCTAGGGTTCGACCAGGCCAGAGAAGGGTAGAACTGGTTCTGTCAGGTGTTTGTGGAGGCTGATACACAGGTTCCTGGTGGTGTACTCCTCAGTTTGATCTGATGATGATCCAGGTGCCTGGACCTTATCTTGTATGTTGGGGGTGGAAGAAGAAGCATTTGATCATGTTGCTTGATGCTTCAGGTGACACTAAGYTCACACGCCTGCATTCATGATGAGCTGCTGCTGGTTCTGTCCCCAAGTTTCCAGATCCAACCTTCTCAACAGAGTGTTTGTCTGAATGAGTGGTATTCTGGATGTTCTTCAGGACCTCTCTGGGAGGCAGTGGTCTTCCAGCTGAGAAGCTTCACGCTCTGCTTCAAACCATGGAGCAGAAGTCAACCATGGAGGATGTGCTGAGCCTGAGCAGCAAACTGTCGGTCCACCTGAGCCACGCAGAACGTTCAGGTGTTCTCCTGGCTCAGCTCGTGGATCTCCAGGAGGAGTGGAGGCTTCTGACAGGAAGTACCAGGAGAGCTCTTCAGCAGGCYTCCAGCTCCACGTCTCAGTCTCTGCTCGTTTTAAAAGAGGCCAAGCAGCTTCAGGACAAACTGGAAGATCTTCTGGAATCTGAACCTGATGGTTTGAGTTCTGTAGAACTGGTTTGTCTGAGCACAGATGTGAGACTGTACCACCAGCTGTTCTTAGGTTTGCAGTCCCAGTCAGAGGCCCTGCTCAGGTTGTCTGTGGCTCAGAGAGAACAGGACCAGATGGAGCAGAGGCTGCAGCAGCTGGGATCCTTGTTGGACCTCTGTAAGAAGAAACTGGTTGTTTGGACAGAAAGCTGTGGGAGCAGCTCTTCAGATCAGATCAACAAACAGCTCCAAGACCTGATCATTTGGGCCAAACAGGCAGAGATCCACATCTCCACAGGACAGAAGTTGGCTCTRTTCCCTCAGGAGGCTCGTGCTCAGATGGATGAAATGAGGACATTTCAGGCTGATATTTTGTCTCGACAGCGACAGATGCAACAACAGGTGGAAGAGATGAAAGGTGAAGCTGCTAACGTGGAAAACGAAGACGGTGAAGTCTTAAAAACGGTAGAAGACTTGTATGAAACTATCGTGGACAGCTTGGATCAAGTTCTCCTCTCCATGAAGAAAGGTCTCAGTGACAGGGTGGAACTGRTGGGAGAGTTGTGCAGCTTGGATGCCTGGCTAACAGAAACACACGCTAACAGAGACCCCTGCTCACACGTGGAAAACGTTTCTGAAGCTTTAATCAGCCAACTACAGAGTGAGCTGAAGACTCYCAGCTCAGCCACTGTGAAGATAGAGAAGCAGCTCAAAAGGCTGGAGTSTTTGTCAGAAAGCTGCTCACAGATCTGCTCAGAGCTGAGTCCAGGAGAGAACCACTACCTCAGCACCAGGCTGTCAGGCCTCTGGACCGAGCTGGATGCACTGTTAGCTGTTGAGACTGCAGCCAGCAGGGAGTTGGAGCAGCTGATACAGGAGCGCACCTCTTCAGATGAGCAGGTAGCTAACATACATGAGAGCTTAAAAGAGATTTCAGCTGATTTAGAGCAGCAGAAGTTCCCTTTAACACTAGAAACATTGACTCTGATTGAAAACTTAAATCATAAACTCATAAAGCACCAATGCCAGGTTCAACAGCTTCAGCACTGCCAGGAGGACCAGAGAAACTCTTTGTTTTTTTCACTTGGTCACCTGCAGGACAGGTGCAAAGCTCTGAGTGTGAACGTCTTTGAACAGGTCAGATATGTGTTCCTCAGAGGACAGATGGAGGGGTCTATAAAGGTGGTCAAAAGACAAATCCAGGATGTTGAAGARCAAGCAGTGAACCCAGCTGAGAGGCTCAGATGGTGCCGTGTGCTCCTGGCCCAGCTTCCTGTGATGGAGACACAATGTAAAGACGTGTCAGAGCAGCTGGAGGTCATAGCTGCTGACTTACATCCATCTGAGCTTCAGTCAGAACAAGAACAGATTCACTGCACCGTCCAAACCTTGTCCTCCTGGAGCCGTTCCTTCACAGCTCAGATCAAACACCTGGAGGCTGAGCTCCTGCCCCGGCTGCACTTCAGCTCCCAGCTCCCTGCTTCAACAGAGCTGCTGCAGGGACCAGAACCAGTCAGTCCTGACCAGGGAGCCATCGATGTGGCTCTGCAGAGATACTGGGCGGTTCACACCAGTCTGGAGTCTGACATGAGGCTGCTGGAAGCTCTGGCACAGAGAGAAGATGTTGACGTGGAGAGCTACAAGAACCTGTATCCTCTGAGAGCTGCAGCCCTGCAGAGCTGTGACTCACTGCTGGTACGCTGACTCAGCACTTTATGCTTTTCTGTCAAACCTGCTTCAACATGCTCGCTCCAAGTTATCTCATGCTACTTTTAGCTACCTGTTTGCTACGTTTAGCTTTTAGCTACCTGTTTGCTACGTTTAGCTTTTAGCTACCTGTTTGCTACGTTTAGCTTTTAGCTACCTGTTTGCTACGTTTAGCTTTTAGTTAGCT